TGTATTAAGTTTAAGTTACTAAAAACAAAAACAAAAAAGAAAGAAACAAACAAAAATCCTCTCACAACAGTTGAATTTCTCTGGAAAGTGGGAATCCCTATTTCAGCATTGCTATCAGTATTAGCTATGTTAGTATTTACATTTCACGGGCAAATTTAGAGCCTTCTGTTTCTCAGAATAGGGAACCATATTAGCTAGAAATGTTTTATTTGTGTTATACTTTATTCCAGCCTTAATACTGCATTGGTCAGATCCTCAGATGGTGTAAACTGATCCATCGCCCTTAGCTTTAAAGGGGATAATCCAGTATTCAGCGATGTGACAATGCATCTCACTAGTGCTCTGACTCTCAGGGGTAAGGAGCACGCTCAGTGGAAGTGACAAGAACTGTGCACCATTGACATGCCCATCATGGGATGTTAGGGAGAGAGAATTAGGTCATTTTCTCTGTCACCCTAATCTTGCCCATTGCCCTTGTCCTTCCATCCACAGGCAGGACACAATGTATGGAGAGGGAAATGTCCAACCGAACCACCGTGACCGAGTTCCTTCTCCTGGGATTCTCTGACATTCGGGAGCTGCAGATTTTGCACTTTGTGGTGTTTCTGGTGATTTACCTGGCAGCCCTGGTGGGGAATCTTCTCATCATCACAGCTGATGCTTTTGACCACCATCTTCACACCCCCATGTACTTCTTCCTGATGAATTTGTCATTCTAGACATTGGCTCCATTTCAGTCCCAGTCTCCAAATCCATGGCCAACTCCCTCATGAACACCAAGTCAATTTCCTATTCTGGATGTGTCACACAAGTCTTTTTCTTTATGCTCTTTTCTTCAACAGATATTGCCTTACTCACCGTCATGGCGTATGACCGATACGTCGCCATCTGCCAACCACTCCACTGTGAGAGAGTGATGAACAGGAGAGCTTGCATCCAGATGGCAGCCAGTGCCTGGATATCTATTTTTGTCTATTTTTATCTATATTTACAACTGTATAAATAAGATCAGAATCTATCTATCTATCCTGTATTGCCACCCACCATCACACCATCTCAGCACCTTCCACCTAAAATGAATAGCCATAATCAAGATCCCAATGGACTCGATGAGGTCTCTGACCCTTTTCCTTTTGCGGGTATAAATGCTGATTTGGATCTGCCCGGGCGGACTCACTGTGGGAAGTGCATGGTGTGGAAGGGGATGCTAAATGCTCCAAGGAAGGTGGAAGCTGTGGAAGGTACTTGCCCTGGAGACAGTCTGCTCAGAGAGAGGAGACTCCCTCAGAGTCCTGACTGGCTTCGTAGGGAGCAGTTCCAGAGCATCGCCCCGATGACTCCGTGACAAAGAGTTCATCCCCTCATTATTTTCTCCTCCAGTTTGGCTTAATATCCAACATACCAATTATTGCAGGTGGGGTGGGGTGGAGGTGGTCCCTTCTGCACCTACAGCAGCTGGGGCTGGTCCCTGCAGGAGTCACTGCTCTGAGCAGGGCTGTTCCCAGGAGCCTGAGGAAAGAGGCACCTTTATTCCCATAAAGCTCAGCTGACTCTCAGGGCTGGATCCAGACACGCCAGGTCACGCATGGGAAAGAGAAGCTGGGAACGTGGCAGGGGACCCCTGTTCCCTCCCAGAAGAGGCAGCAGGTGACTCTCCCCCACCCCTTGGGATCAGCAAGGTGCCCACAGACAGGCATGGGGCAGCCGTGATCACCCCAGTCTTCACCTCCACACCTAGGCTGTATCCCTTGATTGAAGGGGTAGGGAAAGCCGTGCTCCTCCCCTCCTCCTGCAGACAGAGCCTCCTCATGG